TAAAGTTACACTTAACATCACTGTTTTCTATTGTGAAGGGCAGTAGAAAATAAAATGTGGGTAATGATATTGTTGAAATCAGATTGCCTGGGGCTCTTATATAACTTAACCGCTCTGTATTGCCCGTCTGTAAAATGAGAATAACAGTAGTGCCCTTTTTATAGGGTTGTTGCAAGGACTGACTGAAAGAACTATGGCATGTAAGTTGCTTAGAACAGTGCTTGGCATGGACAACACGCTTGGCAATGTGAGCTTTTCTTCTCCCTCTCCCCATCTTCATTCTCACTCTCCATCTTCTCTCAAAGTTTTAATTAACTATTTTAGTGTAAAATTATTTTTACCATGAAGTACACAACCATGGTTCCGAAATCTGTGAACATTGCATCGTGTTGTAATTGAATAAATGTATTCTCGAATTTTTCCTTTCTGTCTAGGTTGTTCTCCTATTAGCGTTTGGTTACCATAACTACCTGCATGTTTAATGCCTCACTCCAAATTATACCCCATTTCCACCCTAATCCCAGCAAGATCTTGTTACCTGATGTGTAAGCTCACAATGACTGGCTCTTTAACAGATGCATGGGATTTTTCTATAGTAAGCAGCTAATCAAAACATCTAAGCCGAGACTGACTGGCTCCTGCCACCAAACAGTCTTTTGTGATGCCTCCTCCTATGATTATAAGGCACAGCGCTCAGGGAAAGCAGACTCATCTTAATAAAATTACAGGCACAGCATAACTAGCGAAGTAAATCTGCTGGGAAAAATAATTGTGCTCCGAAGCATACGTGATTTAGGATTGCTGCATAGAAATATGTCATTACTCCCTTCCACTACTATGGATAATTGAGTTGATTGCTACTTAAAACACAGTGAACTTTCTGCATGTGAAAACAGAAATTCATAGTTTGTTATTCCCTACTTTCCTTACTTAGAGAACTAAAAATCAGCCATCCCAAGTCCCGAACCAGTGAAAGCCTCAACTGGCAAAACAGTGGGGTCTCAAACCTAATGAAATGGGAGGAATCAATTATCTTTTTGTTTAAAAATTTTTTTTATATATTTTATGTTAATCCTCACCCCAGGACATGCTTAGAGAATGGAACAGAGATAGAAAAAGAGAGAAACACAGATGTGAGAGAAAAACACCGATTGGTTCCTTTCCTTACATTTCCCAACTGGGGATTGAACCCACAACCCAGGTATGTACCCTGCCCAGGAACTGAACTGGCAACCTTTTGGTGCACAGGATGACGCTCAACCAACTGAGCCATTCTGGCCGGGCAGATCAATTATCTTGACCCCTTGCCACACAATGTATCAGTGTTTCTATTGAATGGGGAGTGCAAGTCAAAAGCTTTCAAGAGCTGGGAGACACTAACAGGGGCAGAGGATATGGCTACCTCCATGAAGAAACAACACTGCTATCAAAATCAAGGAAGTTTAACCAATTCTGCTCTGGTTAGGGCAGGTGTTACTATCCAAGTGATTCAGGCCAAGGGGAACATGGGGCCTTGTAGTAATCTGGTAGGAATCAGAATCATATAGGTTGGGAGGTCCTTTCAAAATAGTGCGAGAGGTAACAAAAGCAGGGCCTCGCCCCAGAAAAGAAGCTGTCAGGTAGGGGAGATTCCAAAGCTCCTTTCCAACTGAGCTGGGGCGCAGGACCAGGTTTCAGCCTTACAATCCAGCCCCAGTTGTAACCCAGTGGAGGGAAAACTGGAGATAGGAGAGGACTAGTCATGCAGGTAGACCACATAGAGTGGGATGTGAACGGAGAGCATCCACTGGGCTAGATTCAACCACAACCACCAGATGCTCTGTGAAACAGCGGTCACCTGATTCCTTAGTACACAAAGTGCTTCCAATATCCTCTTTTTATTTATTTAGCCTCACCTGAGAGTATTTTTAAAAAATATTTAGTATTGAAAGTATTATATATGTCACCTTCTCCCCTCCCCCCATTGACTCCTTCTAGCCAGCCCCAGGCTTTCACCACCCTATTGTCTGTGTCCATGGTTTATGTATATACACATACAAGTTCTTTGGTTGATCTTTTCCCACCCACCCATCCACCCACCTGCACCTTCCCTCTGAGATTCATCAGTCTGTTCCATGCTTCTATGTCTCTGGATCTATTTTGTTCATCAGTTAAATTTGGTCATTAGGTTCTACATATGAGTGAGATCATGCGATATTGTTTTTCTCTGACTGGCTTATTTCACTTAGCATGATACTCTCCAGGTCCCTCCACGCTGTCTCAAAGGGTAAGAGATCCATCGTTTTTACTGCTGCATAGGATTCCATAGTGTAAATATACCACAGCTTTTTTAATCCATTCATCTGCTGATGGGCACTTGGGCAGCTTCCAGATCTTAGCTATTATAAATTATGCTGCTATGAACATAGGAGTGAATACATTCTTTCTGATTGGTGTTTCAGGTTTCTTAGGACATATTCCCAGAAGTGTGACCACTGGGTCAAATGGCAGTTCCATTTTTAA